ATTACAGGAGGTAATTGCACTCAGCTGGTGGTAATTGCACTCAGCTCCTCTCCAGACTATAAAAGGACTGCTTGTGCACACGCCCCTCTTGCAGAAGTCAACGCATGAACTAATGTTGGAGAACATTATTGTGAGCCTGGCAGGCTGGATTGCTGCCACAGCTTGTCTGTGCTGGATTGCTGACCTGTCTGTCTGTTAATTCAATGCCGTAACTTATCTTTGGCTCGGAGTGTGTTGGTGTGGGACGAGTGGGGTCATAACATATATATACTCTTCCTTTTTCTATGTGGATTATATGGCCAGGGATATCATATGAGGATAATCCCAAATACTACTTATTGACATTGAAAAGAAATTTCTGTTTAAACACTATTGTTGTGAATGTTGTCACCATCAAAATACATGAACTTGTAAAGAGGACAAATATCATTCATTTAATTCCCACCTCAGTTAATTTCATACCAGGCTTGACCACTTTTGCAACAGCAGCAGCTGTAGGCGACATAGCTGCCAGCTCATCCTCTGAAAGTATGGCTCCTGGAAGAGATGAAGGCCACAGCACATTTCTAAAAGGGGATCATTTTATGTAACAAGCGATCAAATTAAACAATCTTCCTCTCAACAGATTTTTAGCGTATTAGCTGTGCTCTAATAACCCCAAACAACACAAGAATGAGCCCAAGATTTCCAAACCCTTTGTATGCTCATTCCAAAGACTGGTTAGGTTTAATGAGGATTCATTTAAGGAAAATCTCAAAGTTGAATATCAAAAAGGTTGCCCATGATTGACAATAACTAGAAGATATAACTAACTATATTAACCAAAAGCTTCTGAACTTCTGGCTGCACAATAGAAGTTGGAAAAAATGTCCAGAAAGAAGCCAAGAGCACTTCATGAAACAATCTATCGTTTGAATGAAGACATTTAGGAAACTGCAGACTCCACTTATTAGAACTATTCCATAGTCTCGATTCAAAGAGGAAAGAGTGATACTGTATTTGATTTGAGGAGGTATGTCTTTGCTCATGGTACAGTCCAAATCATCTCTTCCCCTTGAAATACAGATCTTTGCATAGCCTTACTCAGAGGTCAAGCTCACTTGCACTGTTTCAATTAATATAATTCTTGCAAGGTACAAATTGAGATTAGCAATAGCAATAGCAGTTAGACTTATATACCGCTTCATAGGGCTTTCATATTCCTTTTATTGTGAGACTTAAGAAAGTGCCCTTTTTGAGATTCTGGGCTGCCTGATTTCAGGTTTACCATTCACAGCCAGGCAATCAGAAGACTGAGGAGAGAAAAATGTGAAATTGCTTTGAGCGCCTGATAAAATTTATTAACAATGTATCTCCCATATTTCTAAAACAAGTGTTTTACAAGTCAACTTGTAAAAAATAACCTTAGAAATAGAAATAAATGTATAAACAAATTCTTTGTATCCTATTAACAACAATTATCTGGTACTTTTCCTAAAGCAACACATCACTAACATCACTTGTATTCATCTAATTTAGTCCATCGGGTTATAAACTCTTGGGGCAAGGACAGATGAAGGTGTGAGCTAACTAGGGAACTTGCTCCAGAAGGCGGTTTTGAAGGTTATCCCAATAGTGGAATAAGATAAGCATTCTACCCAGAGTCCAAAAGTTGCTAATGGAGTAGGCTAGGACAATGCAATCACACAACTACAGAGACTGGATAAAAACAAATTGTTGTTGTTACACAGTCAGCCATATATTTAAACCAGATTTGGCATTTTTAGCCATCTATCAAATAGCAATAACAGTTAGACTTATATACCGCTTCATAGGGCTTTCAGCCCTCTCTAAGCGGTTTACAGAGTCAGCATATTGCCCCCAACAATCCGGGTCCTCATTTTACCCACCTCGGAAGGATGGAAGGCTGAGTCAACC